ACATAAAAACGTTATAACTGCAAAAATGAATATTATACTGACAGGAAACAAAAGTTGAACATAAAATTGTATATAATTCTTTACGGAGAATTGTGTGTGTCTCTTTGAGTGTGTGTTAGAGAGAGACAGAGTTCGTAATAAAACACTTCACTATAAAATACACTTAATTTCCGCTTGACTTTTATACCGTTAATGTAAAAAGTATTGCGATCTTATATTGCAGGTTTATTGTCATATAAAATATAAAAATTACTTTGAAAATATTTACTTAAACTATATATTATAATTTCTTCCCTTCAGGCTTCGGAAGCATTTAAAACATTATATACGGAATGAAAACAAACTTACATCAACCACGTACATTCTTTTGAACTATGGGAACTTAACACTTCAAACACATATCAAAAAAATCCTTTACCAGAATAACTATTTATGTAATGATTAAACCGACACTTTAAACCTGAGTGAGATGAACCCAACCGTGTCACGTTTGGGGCTCAGTATAAGTGATAGGAAATACGAAGCATCTAATACTCTGCCAACCGGATCAAACGGGGATCAAATCTATTAACATCTATCACGGTTTTCAGTACAAAGGGTCATATACAGTGAGTGAATATACAGGTATTAGGAACTGAAAAAAGTGTTAATTATTGTTTAGTGGTAAAAGTCGTTCTCTCACGGTGGAATATTGAAGTTGGGATCCAAGTCAGAGATGAATTTTGGTACTGTATTTACATTTTTGTGGTACATATTCCTACATGATGACCTTGTTTTTTACTGTACCGGTAAGTAATAATGACACAAATATATTAAATAAGAAAGAGAAGGAAGGTGAGGAGGAGGGATAGAAGCTAGGAATAATGTAGGAAGGGAGAACAGATAATAAAGGAAAATGGAAGAAAACGGAAGGAAAAGGGTGAGGATGAATCGAGAAATCGGAAAACGAAGGAATGAAAAAGGAGACGGGGGATGGAGAGGAAATACTGAAGAAAAAAATGGAAAGAAAATGGAAAGGAATAAGTCGAGTAGAAAAACAAAAACAAGTGGGAGCTACACACAAAAACTGGGATTTTTTTTTTCGCAAAAACTTAAGAAAAAAGAAATGAAGAAAAGGGTGTATCTCGGTGTTTTCATATTTATGGTAATCTTATACAAATTCACATAGTATTAATAGCTAAAAATGTATATTCTGTTAAGCACAATATTGATAACTGTCTCGTGGGTTTTCACATTATCAAGATTATATTTTGTGTCATTAAGATTTATCCTTAATAAATAAGAACATAAGAAGAAGAACATAAGAAAAAAAGGAGTCTGCAATCGGCCGGTTGGCCTGTGCATGGCAGCTCCAGTCGAGAGTTACTACCATTCTCTATCATCCATGAATCTATCTAGCCTCCTTTTAAAACTTTCCAGCGTTCCAGCATTTACTACAAAGTTGCTAAGCTTGTTCTACTCGTCCACCACCCTATTTGTGAACCAGTTCCTTCCTATCTCCCTCCTAAACCTAAACTTATCCAACTTAAATCCGTTGCTCCGAGTCCTATCCTGCTCGGATGTTATAAGAACTTTATCTATATCCCCTTTATTGATTCCTTTCACCCACTTAAATACTTCTATCATATCTCCCCGCACTCCTCGTCTTTCTAGGGAATGTAAGTTTAGTTTCTTTAACCTATCCTGATATGGAAGGTTTCGAAGTCCCGGAATCATTTTCGTCATTCTTCGCTGCACCGACTCTAGTGAATTGATATCCATTCTATAATAAGGGCACCAGAACTGAACCGCATAATCGAGGTGCGGCCTGACTAGCGCAAGATATAGTTGCAATAAGACCTCTGCATTCTTATTACTTACACTTCTAGATATAAAACCCAACACTCTGTTTGCTTTATTTCGAACATTAACGCACTGTTTTCTAGGCCGTAGGTCCGGGCTTACAAGTACCCCTAGGTCTCTTTCACAAGTCGACTTCTCTAGGTTGATGTTGTTAAGGCTGTATACATTGACAGTATTTGTTCTTCCAATATTAAGTACGCTGCACTTGCTGGTGATGAATTTCATTTCCCATTTTTTAGACCACCCCTGCAGTTTATTTCGATCCTCCTGTAGTGCATTTGCATCCTGCCCTGGTTAATCTGCCGCCCTATTTTGGTGTCATCCACAAACTTGCTTATGTCACTGCTGATCCCAGTATCTAGATCGTTTAATGTAGATTATGAACAAGAGTGGGCCTAGTACTGACCCCTGGGGAACCCCACTGGTTACACAGCCCCACTCAGATTCAACACCATCTACGCTGACCCTCTGCGTTCTATCGGTGAGCCATGATTTTATCCAATTTAAAACTTTCCCCTCGATATCATGAGCCTTAATTTTTCTCAGAAGCCTCTGATGCGGTACTCTTTCAAATGCTTTGCTAATGTCTAAGTAAATAACATCGTAATTTTCGTCATTATCTACTACCTCGAAGACTTTCCTAAATAGTTGTTACAGAAAGTTTCATATGAATGTAAGGGAATTTATTTTACCCCCAAAATAACACACAATTTTTGTTATGCTGTGCCAGTCAAGAATACATTTACTTGTGTTTTTGGAGAATATTATGGTAAGTCTCGTCTGGTCTATTTTTAGCATATAACATTATTTAAATATTACGCTGCACGGTCAAGGTCTTACAAAAAGAGGGAGGGTAAACTAAGCTGTGTACAGACAACATTATTAAGTTTTTGCTGTCTGACACATAATGCTCTGTAATTCTGGACTGTGACATCAGTGAGAATTCTAATATTAGGTAAAATATGAAGAAAACATGAAGAATTTTTATGACACCGCAATTATTATCATGTACTAAAATTAATAAAACGAGATTATATAAATTAAAATGTAATTATATTTAAAACTAACTGCTTTTTAGGTCTGCTTTATGTAGATACATAAATATATCTTTTTCATGTTTTCTGTAATCTCTTCGTGTCTATCCCATTATTGCCTGTATTACTCACTCTTTATGTTACCTTTGCCCTTTATTTAGTTTTCATTGTTCTTTGACCATTTAAAACAATAATAACCCTCACTCTCAGTGTGTGTGTGAGGCAGACCTCCAGCTGTACTGTAATGTGTGGCGTCAAACTCAGGAACAAAGTAAACTACCTTGTTGTTACCACAAAGTTATAACTTGTGACACCGGCGTATGACACACTGGTGTATGAGACAGACAAATGGATGTAAAAGGGATATACTTGTTTGTGTCATGTCTGAATTTTAGTCTTTTTACACGGTTCTGTATTTACTATGATGACACTGAATATAAACTTAGCATATGGTAGTGTACAGTACAGGCACTCGTATGTATACATCTCTGTTATATTAAGTAATTCATAGGTCAATATTTTCCTATAGTCATCTCTGCTGAGTGTAGCCTGGTTTAATTAATCTCTCAAATATATCTCGTTATTCATTGCCAATATAACTCAGGTGTTGCCGTAGATATAAGAAATAAATTATCTACTATATGATCCAATTTCTCCTATGTTAATTTTACGGTGATTGGTGATTTTACTTTTAACATATTATATTATGTCCGATTTATATATCTCACTTTTATCAGATACAAATTATATAGGCAGTAAGTACCCTAAGAGACGGGCGCAATATATGCATCCACAGCCATATAAAAAAACAACAACAACATTCTAATATAAACATCTCCAGGTGTTAATGTTCTTTAAACATCTAAATAAGTGACATTTCTTGTGTTTACTTACAATTAAATAACTCAATGTTTTACCTTATTAATTTATACCTGATGTTATACCGGTACTGATTCTACCATATATCAATGCTAAATTTATTTCAGTCTTATTTTATATTTTTCTGGAATAAATAATTTTTAATTTTTAATTGAGGAAAAAGTTGTGAGTATTACCTCCGTCTTGGCCACCACACACCTCCCTCCTCCACGTCTTGGCCACCACTCACCTCCCTCCTCCACGTCTTGGCCACCACATACCTCCCTCCTCCACGTTTTGGCCACCACTCACCTCCCTCCTCCACGTCTTGGCCACCACTCACGTCCCTCCTCCACGTCTTGGCCACCACACACCTCCCTCCTCTACGTCTTGGCCACCACACACCTCCCTCCTCCTCGTCTTCACCTCTCTCCACCACGCCACCACTCACCTCCCTCCTCCACATCTTGGCCACACTCACCTCCCTCCTCCACGTCTTGGCCACCACTCACCTCCCTCATCCACTTCTTGGTCATCACTCACCTCCCTCCTCCACATCTTGGCCACACGCACTTCCCTCCTCCACGTCTTGGCCACCATTCACCTCCCTCCACCATGATTTGGCCACCACTCACTCCTCTCCTCCACGTCTTGGCCACCACATATCCCCCTCCTCCAAGTCTTGGCCACCACTCACCCCCCACTCACTTATGAACTTTGTCGTTAACTAAAGCTCACTCCAGGAGTCTTAGCTGTAAGTCTCACAGCGTATAATCTTACATACCGAGAATATGCCTTCAGCGTTACATAAGGAAGGTAGCTGTAGGCTTTCTTATTAACTGTTAAACATATATTTCCTGGTAAAACCCCCTTTTTTTATCTGTTTGACACATATGTTAATTTTGTTAAAACCAAGGGTTATGAATGAAATATACAAGTAATCCTTCTTGGAAATTGATTTGAATAACATTATCAAATACATAAATCACACTGGTCTACAAAAAAATATTCTTTTTTTCTGGCATGAAACCTTTTAACTGTTTTTTTTACTAACTTTAAGGTGCTGAATCCAAATCTGATCTCAGATTTGCTCCATCACGTAACGTTTTTGCGCTATCGGTATTCCCTATTTTGATGGATTTCACCAAAAATTCCGTTTTCAGAGTTTTTTGCAGGCTCGTGTCTAAAAATTGTGGTGGTTAATTTATATAACATAGTTATTTTGAACTTGTAATAAATCTAACTCCTCTTTTTTATCATTTTCAGGTGAAAACTGATAACCTGGCAACGGCTTCAACATCCCAAAGACGGAATTGCTGCAATGACCCAGATATATTCTGCTACATCTGTGGAAGCTTTACTTTGAAAAGTCAAAGGCGCAACATCACCAGTTTTGTGAAGAGAGTGTACCTCGCTTACTTTAAAGTACCACTTGGAGACCAGGATAAAAGTTGGGCTCCTCACAAAGTGTGCAAAACCTGCCTGGAAACTTTGCGATCCTGGTCTCAAAGAAAGAATGCTAGACTTCAGTTTGGCGTGCCTATGGTTTGGAGAGAACCAACGAATCATTCAGATAACTGCTACTTCTGCCTCGTCAATGTTAAAGGATTCAATAAGAAAAACAAACAATACCTGCAATACCCAAATATCCCATCAGAGATTGAGGATATAGACCGGAATTCACCTGTTTCTACTGATGAAGATGAAGAGACTGATCTTTTCAAGCCATCTGGTGAAGATTGTGAAAAGCCAACGTTGTTTACTCAGTCAGAATTGAATGATCTGGTCAGAGATCTAAATTTGCCAAAACAGTCTGCTGAATTGTTAGCTTCCAGGCTTCAAGAGAAACGACTCTTAAAACCTGGCACGAGTGTCTCCTTTTATCGCAACAGAGAAGAGCAACTGCGGAGGTACTTTCATTCATGTGACCAGCTTGTTTTTTGTAATGATGTAGAAGGACTTCTTCTCTCCATGGGACTACCAGCATATGATAGTAAGGATTGGAGACTTTTTATTGACAGTTCTAAAAGGAGCTTGAAATGTGTTCTTCTTCATAACGGAAACAAGTATGGTTCAATTCCAATCGAACATTCTGTACAAATTAAAGAAGAGTATGAAAACATTAAGACTGTTCTAGAGAGGTTGCAATACCATGCTCATGAATGGTTAATTTGTGTGGACTTGAAAATGGTAAATTTTCTATTGGGCCAGCAAGGAGGGTACACAAAATACCCCTGTTTTCTGTGCTACTGGGACAGCAGGGCTACAGCAGACCATTGGGTGAAAAAGAATTGGCCACCAAGACATAGTTTGACGCCTGGTGACAAGAATATCATTAACGATCCTCTGATTGACAGGAAAAACATTGTCCTTCCTCCTCTGCACATAAAGCTTGGTATCATGAAGCAATTCGTCAAGGCTCTTGATCATAGTGGAGAGTGTTTCAGATATATATGCTCAACCTTTCCAAGTCTTAGCGACGAGAAGAAAAAGGCAGGGATTTTTGATGGACCTCAAATAAGAACACTACTCAGAGATCCACACTTCCTTGCAACAATGACTGAGGCACAGGCAAGAACTTGGAATGCTTTCTCTAATGTGGTGCGGAACTTCTTAGGGAACAAGAAAGCGGACAACTATCAAGAAATTGTGGAAGAGCTGCTCTTGAGTTTACAAGCACTTGGATGCAGAATGAGTATCAAGGTTCACTACTTACACAGTCACTTGGACGAGTTTCCAGAAAATCTGGGAGAAGTGAGCGAGGAGCAAGGGGAGCGCTTTCATCAAGACATTAAAGTAATGGAAGAACGTTACCAAGGTCGATGGGACTCGAACATGATGGCGGACTACTGCTGGAGTTTGATGAGAGACATTCCAGAAGCTGTACATAAGAGATCGGCCAAAAAGAGGAAGTTTATGTAACTGTAACTTGATCTTAATACTTGCACTATTTCTACCGTACATTAATTGTTTTTTTTCACCCTTCAATGTTACATTTAAATATTATATGTGCATTAACTTTCCAATTTGATATTAACAATTTTTGGTTATAGAAAAATACAAATTATAATGCTGAAAAAATTTATGTATACATGTTTAAACCGTCAATTTTGATCCAAAAGTTTACGTTTCCCAGCAAAAGTGCAATATGGTATATCTCAAAAACCTGATGCGATAGACAAAAACCAAAGTCATATTTGGATTCTGCACCCCAAATTTACTTAAAATCCGTTTAAAAACCTTGTGCCAGAAAAATTGTGTTGACCGGTGTTATATTTCATTACGCGTAGTCGCTCAAAATGCTGGATATAATGTTCGAAATAAAAAATAAGAAGATTATATAAAATATTTTCTACATTTTCGCTAATTACCTGAATAGATAAATTATTAAAGTAAATATATCTGTCCAGGTATGTAAGAGGGACATCTGTGCGGCACAGTGCACACACAGCAGGTGTAAGAGTGTTATGTTCATACACATTAACTCAGGCGGGAAGCAGTTTACTAACAACTGCATTACCTAAATTGAGTGAGAAGCGGGAATTTGTCTTTGCGTCTTAACTAAAATGATCTTTATTCCAGGACTTTTTGCTACGAAAACTAAGACCTTCCTTAATAAATATATCGATCCTACAGGGGAAGTATTGTTATTTATAGTTTGTTTTGTGGAACGTTATGAGGCCCCTCTTAGTGGTGGCGACAACACAGGCCTCAGTTATCACCTTATCACCGCATTACAGTAATTGACTCCCGCATTTAAAAGATTACGTAGTTTAGTTATATCCAATATGTTTGTCAAATTAAGTGCTGGTGGTTAACGTTTGGCAAGAAGCCAAGGCATTAACTGATGGGCTGTGTACTTAGTCTTGTCTAGCGTTCCCTCACCACCAAATTTATGGGTTTGTGTCCAGACAAGCTGGCGGGACACTAATGGTTTCCTCAGCTTAAAGTATTACCTATAAAACTGTCGGAGGTGTGGGAAGGTAAGTGATGGGTCCTGACAAGGTGTGAAGTATATGTCGACTGACCGACCATTCGACACTGAGAAACAGACATAATGTCAGTTACGTAAGGACCCCAGATAAGATGTGCAATGTTATTCATAAAGACAAGTATTTACAGTTACAATGTTCAGTACTGCGTTATGATGAAATATTAATGGAAACGGAAATGCTCTTAAACAACATAAACTGTCTTTATTCGCTTTATGTACCACAAATACAGTAAGTCGTTTGTCGCTGACTATCAAAATGGATCATGAAAACAACCCCAGACTCCCTCGTCTCTCAAATCATACACGGAGGGGTTTTTTGTACGGGGATTAGCCCACCCGGGCACAGGTCACTGACCCACATCGGGACCTGGGGACGTAATAATAATAATAATAATAATAATAATAATAATAATAATAATAATAATAATAATAATAATAATAATAATAATAATAATAATAATAATAATAACACATAATAATAATAATAATAATAATAAAGAAATACAAAGAAAAAATTCAATAGTGGGAAACGCTACACTACAGTATATGTATGTTGTGTTATCAAGTAAGAGAAACAATTGAGACCCTGCAATTGTGGGTAAATGAGGCAAAAAGTCAGATCAGCAACTTGGGATTTGGTCACAATATTCGTGATGCCATATGGCAGCAGGGTCTACCATTAGACAACACATTATGCTTCCAATATCTTCCCAGGCGGTAGTAACTCCCTGTTTGATAGCTGCCTACTACCTACTACACTGTATATCTCAGTGATTCCCAACGTGGGGCCTACGCCCCACTGGGGGGCAATTCAATAATAATAGGGGGGCAATATGAAAAATATAGTAATATCAACATTTTTTTTTATTTTACCCTATATGGGTAAAAATTATAAATTTATAGGGTAAAATTGTAATTACAACCTAGCTGAGCACAACAGCTTGCGCAATCTAGTCAAGTGTTCACCCACTAATGTTATCGTGCATCTGGCACCAGCTATATGCGTGGCTTCTGACTTGTTTAACTTTGCAGTTCTTCATCTGCTGTCAAGGAAGAAGGTGAGTTTTAGTCAGCTGCTCAACGCTCCCACTGAAGCTAAAAAAACAGAGGAAACTAACTACAACCAAATTAAATGTGCACAATAAAGCATGGAAGCAGTATTGAATTAAACACAAATGCAAGTTTCATGTTGATATAGTTATCTGTCTCTGTTTTTTAGCTTCACTGAGAGGGCTGGTTAAAGTGCTTTTCATTATGATTATTGATCTTGTTATTCTCTGAAAATAATGTATAAAAATAATCATTCATTGATCTTGTCACAGTAACATTAATTTAAAACTGTGAATATAAAGCTCAATATTTACTTGAAATGACAACTGCATATTGACATTGTGCCTTGTATGTTACAGAAGTTAGATATTAAATTTATTTTCCTAAGTATATAAATATTTTATTTTCACTTTTCTTGAAAAAGATGACCAAGATCTCAAAAGCATGCCGCTCAGTAATAATACTGTTAGTAGCAGGATTGATGAAATGAGTTGTGATGTAGAAGTACAACTTGTTGAAAAATTAAAATATACAAATTTTTCAATACAGTTGGACGAATCAACTGTAAGAGATAGTGAAGCTCTGTTAATGGCCTATGTAAGATATGTTGATAATGGAGAATTTATTGAGGATATGCTATTTTGCGAAGCATTAGAAACCACCACTATTGCAATTGATATATATAAGAAATTAAAAACATATTTAGATGATAAGCAGATACCAATGGAGAACATTATATCTTGTGCTGCAGACGGTGCTCCAGTGATGATGGGCAAGAAAAATGGAGTTTTAAAATTATTGAAAGACGACAATCCCCAAATGTTGTTAGTGCATTGTGTTATTCATAGACAGAATTTAGTTGATAAAATAGTTTCCCCTGTTCTAAACGAGACATTGAATGCAGTTATAAAATGCATCAACACTATAAAAGCTAATGCCAAATGTGAGCGTCTTTTCAAACAATTTTGCAAGGATCAAAATGCAGACTATGTAAGATTATTACTTCATACTGATGTAAGGTGGTTATCAAATGGGAATTGCCTGAAAAGATTCATGGAATTATTTGATATTCTTAGTGAGTTCTTGGATGACAAACCTTATATGACTCTGTTACTGACAGTTGATGGTAAAGCACTTGTCAGTTATTTTGCAGATATATTTGAAAAACTCAATGTCTTAAATAAGGAGCTCCAAGGAACAAATATGACTCTTGTTAATTCAAAAGCCAAGACATTTGGCTTTATATCATTTCTGGAATTATCCCAAGAAAATATTTCAGTAAAAAAATTTGAACAATTTTATTGGCTGAATAAATGTGAGGTAACAGATGCTACTTGTCTTGTTATTGTGGAGCACTTAAAAATAATGGTAAGCGATTTCAACTTCAGATTTTCTGATTTGAAAGAAATTAATTATCCATCTTGGATGACTCAGCCATTGCTAGTGGATCTGTCAGATGTAACCATGGAGTATCAAGGAGAACTTTCAGAATTACAAAATGATGACTCGATTAAAACCCTGTTCAAAATAAAAGGAACAATGATGTGGCTCTGTGAAGAAACACAAGCTAAATATCCAAATACAAGTAGTTTGGCAAGAAAACTACTGTTACCATTCCCATCGTCATACTTAGTGGAATGTAGATTTAGTGCTGTGAATGACTTATTACTGAAGAAAAGAAACCGACTGGATATCACTAAACGAGGCGACTTGAGATTGAAATTAACAAAATTTCTGCCTCGGATAAAATCTCTTTGCAGTAGACATCAGGCTCAAGGGTCTCATTAATTGATTGTAATTGAATTTATTTAATCTGATGGTAGATATGTTATACACATTATGAAATGGATTTTATTTGATTAAATTTGAAGTTAAACCCTTTAAAGTTTTATTTGAAAGATACAATTTTTTATGTTATACTTCTTCAAAACTGATATTGTTATATCATACTAAACAATTAACGGGTGGGGGACATGAAGAAATTTGTGATAAAAAAGTGGGGCATGGTACTAAAATGGTTGGGAACCACTGGTATATCTACTGCTCTCTTCGTATCTACTTGTCTTCTATCTGCCTCAGTCATTCAGTCATCCTATCCCATTATATCCATATATTCAAACATCAACACAATCTCTATTTTACTTATTCAGACATTTATCTCTCTACCAAATGATCTTTTAATATTACAGTCCTCACTCTGTCTTCTCTTGATCTTCCTCACCCGAACTTCAAGATAATTATTTCCAAGTTAGTTTGTGTCTTGTCATTCTATTATTGTAACCTCATGTTTCACACCTCAACATCAGACGCTGTATTAATCCTTCTACTATGTCCGCCCCGTTTGGTGTAATGTCATACAGATCCTGAGCTTTTACTAGACACAGCTCCAGTAACTTTAATATTTTTTCTCTGCATATGGCCCACTTTCTCCCGACAACAAACAACAGTTCATTCTTATACAGATGGTTCAGCCCTTCTGACTGCCTCAGTCACTCAAAATAAAGTTTTCAGTGGTAGACAACAGACATCATCTCTTCCGGAGGATCTCGCTTGGATAGTTTAGTCACTAGTGGGACCTATCCACCGTTGTTTCCTTCAACGCAACTAAACTAAAGCATATTTCAACATTGATTTTGGTAAATTTATAATCCCACCATCACACGACATTGAAGTTTTATGCATATCCATCAGGCCCAATTTCATGTCTTATTCAACCGGTGAACAGTTGGCAAGCGTTTACGTGAAACAGATGCTCACCCAGATTAATTACTGCTGTCATATGTGGGCAGGATGTGGTGTCGTGGCACTTTGTCACCACTACTTGGTGCAGAGCAGAGGAGAGCAATCAAATTAATCCACAATTATAACCTTACCCTAACACTTCCGGTACTACAGTGACATCTCCTTATTCTCTCTATTCTATACAGTATATATTTCCAAAGTCGCTGTGTTGACGAACTACCGTCGATAGTGCCAGCATCTTGCTCCATCTATCGGCATTTACCGCATCTCTCAATATCCGATATTCATATCCCGGAACAGCACTTCTTGGAACTCTCCATTTCACAATGTTTTTCCTATGTCATACAGCTTCCTGGAGTTTAAAACATCTTGTTGCAAATGTTTCTTCACTCTTTGGTGATGGGTCGCCTTGAAAACGATGCCTGTGTAATCTCTGCCTACACTTTCTATTTGTTAAAAGGTGTTTATAGTACACAAATGATATTGATAGTACATATCCTGGAAGTAAACCGAATATAATCGCTATCCAACTTTTTCCAACCTGGACCTCTCGAACGGACTTCACTTCCTGAATCTCTATCACATACTAACTGTAACTTGCAGCAGAGTAGTGATCTAAACAAACTATTGAAAAATCCTTCTATCAGTTTTATGTTATTTGCTCTACTTCCAGAACAAACTTGCTCAACCACGACAGTTTCAGAGCCCTTCTCCCTGTGTGTAGTACTATAATACATTATGTACAAAGAGGAAACCTCAAATACATTTCCGTTCTTTATACCTCAACTGCCCACACCACCACTACCATTTCCTCCACCCACACCCTTGTATTCAGATCACCAGCATCAACAAAGTATTACCTCTCTCGCTGAACAACACATTTCAGCTCGATTAATCAAAGAGCTTGTTTTTGTGTTTTGTTTCATAGTCTTCGTTCAAACTTACCCAACAGTTATTCTGGTCTCGATTAAGTCTATCTTCAACCTATTCCACAATGATCGTAAGCAAATTGATTCATATATTACCACATGTCTCCCTATCTGACCAAAACATTGAAAGTTGTTCTATCCCTCTTCTCTTGTCTTCACCTAATAACAGCATCTCTCTCTCTCTCAGTATTTCTACCTCTCTCCTCCCATGTACTGTACACCACACTATCTTTCATCCTCTTATTCCGCCCAGCAAATTCGTCTCACTCACTGCCACCGTCCTGTATTGTAATGGTCGCCGTAAATCATTGTAACCGATATTGCAGGAGCGTCTCTAATATTAGTCCCGAATTGCTTCTACATAGTCGATAACCTAATTTATCTAAATATAAGACATTGACAAAGAAGAGTTATATTATAAGGAAAATAAACTCATATCTTCATGAGTAACATTCCCAATAAAAACACATCGGTAAACTTGCACCCAAACGAGGTACTAAATCAGTGAGTGGTCATCTTCACTTTTGATCTTTTGACCAAGAAATATAATTTGGCAATGGTAGATAATATATATATATATATATATATATATATATATATATATATATATATATATATATATATATATATATATATATATATATATATATATATATATATATATATATATATATATATATACACGTGGCGGCGGTGTGTCCTCACTAGGTGTGGTGTTAAGAATATCAACCTGGGATGAGAGAGATTTGTTGGTAATGGAATTTACAGGAAACGAAAGAAAATATTGATAATATATGTATATTCAGGAAAAATAATAATAAGTGAAACAACTATATATTGATCAAATAAATGATGACGTGCTCTAAATTCTATTATCAGTTGATAGCAACACGATAGCCAACTCACAAATAAAATGTAAATTACATACGACATAAAATTTTGGATATTCATAAAACAATTTACATGACGTCAAAAGAGTTCTTTAAATTTTTTGTTGGACTGTAAAATGTATTTTGTAATTTGGCTTAAATTTCATAGTGGATATATTTTTGTCTCTTCTGCTTAACAACATTTACTTGTTGCTTTCCATTTGAACTTATAATTTAATTATCCAGAAGATTCTTTAGACACTTTCAGAGTTGACTCACACAAGCAGTAAGATGAAAAAAGTCTGAAAAAAGTTTATTACAGTATAATTTTGTTCCTAATAGTTCTCTCAGTAAGATTTTGCCTCTTTGTTGTGTTATGTGTCGCCTCTTCTTACTCTCTCAAGTATTAACTGATCCATCATGTGTGTAGCATCTTGATGGGTCTTAGACACATGACGATTTACACGAGTAATATTTGCCTACACATTAAATTCTGTTCCGAGAGGAAAAAAACAAAGATTTCGTATTAGTATCATTTTGTATGTTATTAAAATATAAATCTATTTTTACAAAACTTATGTAAATTAATTGAAAAATTACATCACTAATACTGAAGAAGTAGATGATTCGACTAAAAACTCGCCCAGTGATATTCAGCTGTTGTAATAATTATGTTAAGCTGATAGAGAAGAGCTGATTCTAAAATATACTCCCACAACACCTTGCTCCAGAGTCTAGTTTTACCTAACAGCCTCGACAACATAATCCAGAGACGTCCTCACCCTTAGCACAAGTTGACGACCCCTTTGTTAACAACATTATCTGGTCTTTTATTTATGACATTCATTACTAAGATATTATACATAACATTACAAAGAAAATACATCCACTTCCTGTAATACCTCATGGATCTGATTAATATGAGGTGAATTATTACTTTTTATTCTCGAATATCAAAACTCAGAGCTGCATTAATAAATTAAATAACACATACCATTATACTAGTTAAGGAACATCACCCAAGGGTAAAGATTGTAAAAAGCAACAACACATTAGACCAGCAGTTGTGTGTATCATCAATTACCAGGCGGTGGTGGGGTAAACCTCTGCGGTTACCACACGCCAAGTTTCACTACCTTCCCCCCCCTTTTTTTTTAAATATATATTTTTTACCTGTTACAATACTTTCCCGAATACACACGCCGTTGGTCTTTATATAACAACAAGAAAAATCTGAAATGTCGAGTATAAAAGCTCCTAGGATCAGTACAGTATCTCAGTAGGCAGGTATGTGTATGATTACCTTTACATGCATGTTATTATTCACGTATCCGTACCGTATGTATAAAGGTCTCTATGTATTAATAAATTTCATCAAAGTATCTCTAAAACCAACGAGTGTTTCAATAAATCTATGTATATTCGTGATGTAAGAGTTTCATGGGTGATCGGGATGTCACTCTCTAAGAATTGTAATATTTGTTTTTTGGTACTTGAGGGATGTCCATCGTTATCTAGGAAGATATTTTCATCACAGTTTCTTATACATGTAAATAGAAAGGTATAATATTTGACCTTATCTGCCAGCCTTACAATAGCCTCGTTATGTCACCCCTTTCAGGTGCACCAGAGCTCCTTATACCACTCCATGGTGATCAATTAGTGTGCGTGTGTACTTGATCTTTATCTTTAATTTCACTACTTTTAAACTTTTTACCTAACTTAACCTAACCTAACCTAACCTAACCTAACTTAACCTAACCTAACCTAACCATTGGGTACTTTTCATATGGCTTAACTATTACCAAAGAAAATTATTGATGGTGATCTCGGCCAATATTATGATGGGACGAAATCACTAAAATGGGCTGAGGTCACCACTGAATGTGGGCCGAGGTTACCACTAGATGTGACCCGAGGTTATCAC